AGGACTGGGAAGGCAACGATATAATCAATGAAGAATCACAAATGAAAGTAACAATTATACTTGGAACCCAGTTAAGCGAAGACATTTCCATTGAGGGTACAACAGGTGGTGCGAACATAGCAGAAGATAAGGAAATGTCAAACCAAGGAAACATTATGGTGATAAATGTAGACGAAGACCTGGGCATATCAACTCAAGGTGAAATCATCGACTCTCAGAAAGAACTGACAAAGGAGGAAGCAGTTAGCGCAAATAGATACCCAGACGGAGGTTCAACCTGGAGTGATGAAATAAATAACTCAGGGTAAATCAAACTTGTGTAACCTAAAATCAAACCTCAGACTAAAGGATAAGATTTAAAAAACAGAAAGTAAAATAAAGTTAAATTAATTACAGTGTTTGCGAATCGGCTTCCAAATGATGCGCCGGGAGGCTGCCGGCGTCCCATCGATCAGTCATCGATCGACAGCGGGCGCTCTTGTTCAGCAGACAAGAGTTCGCCCGAGTTTCGGAACGCGCAACGGCCGCGTGCTTGCGCCACGTGCGCTGAGCCGCCATTGTGAATCTAGTATTCAACGCGAACGCATTGCTCATAGCATTTTACACATTTCTCTCAGTCTAACTCAAGTGCAGCTCAAATTGTCTGATACTCATTTCGGAGCGCGTTAAGGTGAAAAGTTCAGCTCTTTGAAGAACCAGCTCATCGACCACAGGCGGAAGAATTTATACATTAACTGCGCCAGGCGGTGTAGCCAGCTCAGAACACAACAGGAAAGCGCTATTCATCATCCCCGTCAGCTCAAGCATCGATAGTACGACCCATTTTTGACAGGTAGTTCTTAAGCCATCTCATTAACACCTCGATTTGACTAATTTAAGAATAGACGAGAATAAACGTTTTTATACTACAACCAAGACCGAGAGCATTCTTTTCTGCAGTCCGCGCGAACCCAACACCTGTTCGCGAACATATAGTCTGTGCATAAAATAAAACTTATATTTCATTGGAAGAGTAAACACAGAGTAACGTTAAATTAGCAGATAACAGAATTCAATAAATAGACAGTCAAATTAATAGTAGATACAACGGAGTGATTCATAAATCAAATAAATACAATAGTTAAACTTCTCCAACAGATATAAAAGATGTTTAATTATGTAAACATCGGACTGTGGAACGCACGTAGTTTACTAAAAAAAAGTAACGACTTGATGAATGTATTAGATGAATACGATATTATGTAAGAGCGAACGACAGTGAGGCGACATGGCAATAGCCTGGCGACGGCCAGAGTTGTTCAAGTGCCGCCATAAATTAGCGGGATGTTTAAACTCCGGAGAACGTGGCGAGGATCGAAGTCGAATTTCGGCGGGACCCTACCATATTTCGTCGGTCTGACATGAGTTTGACCAGGCCCCGTAGAGCCGGCTACATTGGGGTCTTCCCCAAGAAAGAGTGGGGCGCGTGCTGGTCATTTTAAGGGCGGAAAATGCCACGCAACGGGCAGAACGAAAAAGGCGACAGAAGAAGAGACCGCGGGTAAACGTCGCGAGATTGGAAAAAACGTACAATTAATAAAAAACTGTTCAACAGCATTTATGTGTCTTACAATTGATCAGAAGTGGGATACAGGATCTGGAATAAAAAGATTCGCAGAAATTGTGTGTCTAACGCTGCCGTTCGTGTTTTGAGTGACTTTCCTCGCGACGCTTTCAGTGCTTGTGCTGATTCTCTGTGTGTGACATTGTTCGTAACATTCTGTGTGACTATTCATAATGTTCTGTGTGACTCTATCGGCAACTTTCTGTATAGCCTTGTACGTAACATTCTGTGTGACTTGTTTGTAACGTCTGTGCTAATTGACTTTTTCTTCTCAGTGATACCTTTGCATCTCAGTGCTAATCTAAGTGACATTCGTGATAAAAAAAAAAAAAAAAGTTCGTGATGTCCCAAGAAATGGGGAAAGACCATCGTGGATTTCTGTTGTCTGAGCTGAAAGAAGCACTACGGCGACAGGGATCGCCCGCGGTAGGCAATAAAGCCGAGCTGATACAGCGGCTAGATGAACATTTCCCCGATCGATCATGGGAAAGTTGCATAACACCACGACCAAAGAAAGGCGGGAATCCAGTTCCCGAAGAAAATGATATCACTGTGGAAGAAAATGATGCCCTACCAGAAGCAAGCACTCTTCGCCTGGATGCACCGGTGTGGCGAGATTCGTCGGCAGAAAATGCTCCGGATCGGCTGCTACGCATGGAGATGGAGCTCATGCGCCGAGAGAGAGAGCTCATGCAACGAGAGTTGCAATTGCTGCAGCGGGAAAACGACATGCTGCGACAGTCCCCTGGTTCGAGCCGAGAAACGGAGAGGAAGTCTGGAGCAAGCATTAAAGCCATAGGCGAATTGCTAGCAGATTTCAGTGGTGCGGAACAGTGTTTTCATAGTTGGAGGAAACAGCTAGCATTACTCATCTCCACATATGACCTAGACGACAATTTATCAAGAATCCTGATTGGTTCGAAGCTTAAGGGGAAGGCATTGAGCTGGTTTCAATCGAGAACGGAACATTTAGAAGTCAGCACGGACGAACTGCTGGTCCGAATGGAGTCAATGCTCCATCATCGGGAGAGCAGATTGGAGGCTCGCCGGAAATTTGAGAGTAGAAGATGGGCTGTCAACGAAAATTTCGGCGAATACTTCCATGATAAGTTAATTTTGGCCAACAGAGTGCCAGTTGCAGAGGAAGAAATGGTCGACACCGTAATTGACGGAATCCCTGACGTTAACTTGCGTAATCAGGCACGTATGTGCAATATTACGACGATTTCGGCATTGTTGGGGGCCTTCAGCAAAATCAAGCTGAGCCCCGTCCCAAGATGTCAAGTGATGCCAGGCATGTCAACAAGTCGACCGTAGCCGACGGAACTACCTGCATCGCAAGGGTCAGCGGGCTAGTTAAAACCTCCGATGCGCTGCTACAATTGCAATAGGATGGGTCATCGGTCCCAGGAATACCGGCTACCAAGGAGGGAAAAGGGTTCCTACTTTGGCTGTGGGGAAATGGGCCACCTGTTACATGCTTGCCCTAAGAAAGTGAGACCCCAAGTCACCTGCGTACAGGATCGGCCACTACAGGAAGACGAATTTCAGCAAAATGTCGAATACGCGATAGACAATTTAGAAGTAAGACTTTGTACCTTGTTTGATATAGGAAGTCCGGTGAGTTTCATTAAAAAATTATCTGTTCCTTGTGTTATAGGAGAATTAGATGACAGCGTGCGCAACCGTTTTGTAGGGATCAACAAATCGCCGTTAAATCCTATCGGCACCGTACAAACAACAATCATATTAAACAATCTTCAAAAAAATATGTCGCTTCTTGTCGTACCGAATCAAACAATGTCCGCGTCAGTAGTGTTAGGTCGGGATACCCTTAAATTGTTTAAAATTACGTTAATGCGACCAGGAGTCGAGGATGACGCGGTCTTAGAAATTATGAACATTCTCGCAAAACCGGCGGAAGACAACGTGGCAGCTTCATTAAATATCAACGCTGATATAAACCATAGCGAACGCGAGAAATTGAAAATCATGTTTAACGAACAGTATTTTCAACTGTCCCGTCCAACGGTGCCCCGCGTCAATGCCGAGCTAAAATTAACCCTAAACGACCATAAACCCTTTCATACCTCTCCGCGACGAATTTCCTATTCCGAGAAAGAATAACTTAGACAGATATTAGATGGGTTGTTAAGCAAAGGTGTTATTAGAACTAGCGATTCCGAATATGCGTCGCCAATCGTCTTAGTAAAGAAAAAAAAATAGGAGAACTCCGTATGTGCGTGGATTATCGGATTCTAAACAAGGCTCTCGCTCGTGATCACTACCCGCTACCACTAATTAAGGATCAGATAGACATTCTGTGCGAAAAAAAATATTATAGCTTGTTAGATTTGAGAGACGGGTTCCATCACATCCGCATATCGGAAGATTCAATCAAGTACACTTCGTTTGTCACTCCCCTAGGTCAATTTGAATATTTAAAGATGCCTTTCGGTCTCAAAAGATTCCATCTCGATTTCAAAAATTTATCAACGAAGTTTTCGCAGATCTAATTAAGTCAGGCGATGTAGTTGTGTATATAGACGACATATTAATAGCAACACGAATGTTAGAACATCATTTTCAAATTCTCCGTCACGTTTTTACACTCCTAGTAGAAAATAAGATGGAGTTAAGATTAGATAAATGCAAATTCTTATATAAAGAAATAGAGTACTTGGGATATTTCATAACAGAGAAAGGTATCAGCCCACCGAAAAGTGGGGTAGAGGCCGTTTAAAGATTTCCGATACCGCAAAATACCCGTGACGTACAAAACTTTTTAGGGCTCAGCTCGTACTTTCGTAAATTACCACGGAGTTCGAAAGCAGGTACCACAGCTTTGAACTCGAGGTGTTAGCTATAGTTTATGCATTGAGACGTTTCCGGATTTATTTACATGGTATCAAATTTAACATTCTAACCGATTGTCATTCACTTCAAATGACGTTGAACAAGAAGGAAATAAACCCACGAATCGCGAGATGGTCATTAGAGCTACAAAATTATGATTACGAGATAATTCACAGACCAGGCATACGCATGGCGCATGCGGATGCGCTGAGCAGATCTACCAACGTCCTCGTGGTAGAAGGAAATTCATTCGAGTCAGATTTAGCACTAATGCAAAACCGAGACCCCGAAATCTCTAAAATAAAAGAGAAGTTAGAATCTAAAGAAGACGGATTCTTCGAAATGCGAGATTGGAAAAAACGTACAATTAATAAAAAACTATTCAACAGCATTTATGTGTCTTACAATTATGTGCATTTACGAGACATGGTTAAATGAATTTCCAATAAAGAGTATAAAGGGCTGCAATATCAAACATAATACGATACCGAATATGGAAAGGAGGAGATTCCACGGAACTCCAGGTCCAGGGTTGGCAATAATTTACAGAGATTCGCTAAAAATTAGATTCAAAAAAGAAAAATTCCTTCTATTTGAACTAGAGTATATGAGCTTCGAGATTCTGGACAAAAATAACTTTACGATAATACCCATAACGCTATTTTATAGAAATCCTAGGAATCATTTTAGTAGACAGGACTGGAATAACCTATTCAGAGACATAGATGTGACGGACGAGACAATTTTAATAGGAGACCTGAACGCAAAAAACACCCTTTGGAACTGTAAACAATCTGATCAATCGGGCAAAGCCCTAGAAAAAGAACTAGACAATTGGGATCTTATAATACATAACACGGACATGATAACGAGAGATGACCCAGGTACGGCAGAACCTAATATCGACTTAATAATATCGCGTCCCCATTTAGCGGAATACATCAAATATTCCGAAACAAACATTTGTTTAGGATCGAACCATCAGATACTGAACATACAGATTTATTCAGACAATGATTTCGGTTTAGACATAGCAAACACAAGCTCAAGGATAAACAACAGACTGTATAATTCCAAAAAAGGATTAGTCTGGAGAGGGTTCAGAGAAAAACTGGAATCGAACAAAAGTAAGTTTATCAACGATTTCAATTCAACAAACAACATTAACGATAAATATGTGATCTGAAAAGAGACAATAATCGAAACTTTGAACAGTATAACAACAAAGGACAAGGACCAATTAAGGAAAAAACATAAAAATGCCGAAAGACCACAAACAGTAAAATACCACAGAATTCAGGAACCAAACCATAATAAACACAAAAAGTCCTGGTGGGACGAAGAATGCAGAGAACATTGGGAAAACTGGAAGAAAAGTATGAAGAAAGTATGTAAGACCGGTAATACGGAGGACTTCATAATAATGGAACACAACAGGAAAAAAGTGGAACGAAATGAAACAAAAAAAGAAAGATTCAGCCTGGTCATCGCTCACAGAAGAGATAGCAAAGGAAAGGGACTTAAGTAAGATATGGAGAAGAATTAGAGGAATCAAAGAATGTTTCACCAAAGAAAAATCACCCCTTAATGATAGTACGAGAATAGAATTGGAGGAAATAGAAATTTTCAAGTTGAAAAACAAAAATCTGGCTATTTCAGGTATCGTAACGGACGACTCGACAACGAACAACTGGAGTCAAGACATTCAAACGAGCATATGGGAGAAAGACTTGGAAAATTATGAGATTCTGATGACAATAAATAGCACCAAAGGTAAAACGCCAGCCCCAGGGGACAACAGGATCGATTACAAAATAATGTATGAGTTACCATCGTTCATGAAGGAATATTACGCTTATGCTTATACAGATTATGCTTCATAGACAAGGCAGGTAAAGCTGCAATAAGACCTATAACACTAACATCTTGTTCAGGAAAAATTCTCTTTGGGCCGAAGAAAACAACATAATTAAAGAAACTCAGGCAGGATTTAGAAAAAAGAGATCAACAATCGACAACTTAAATCAGGTGATCACTCATGTCAAATAAAACGCAAGAGACAACATGAAATCAGCCACAGCTTTCATCGACATCAAGAGAGCTTACGACAACGTGAATTTCGAAATACTTCTTAAAATCCTGGAAAACAAGGGATGCCCAAATAGAATACATAATTGGATTAAGGTATGGCTGCACAATAGAATGGTTAAAATAATATACACAGGAATGGAAGGATGAGTGAGGAAACAATAAAAATGTAAAAATAAAGTTAAAATAAAGTTAAAAATAAAGCCAAATGCAAAAGTACGAATGTACGAATGAAAGATTTGAATGTACGCGCGGAAAGGCAGGCAGAAATCTACGTATGGACGAATGAGAGGAAAATCTGATTTGAACAACGCGCACAGAATGGTAGGTAGAAGCACTGATGGTATGGAAAGATGAGAGACGACCGAATAATAATAGGCGATATGTAAAAGATGGCGAATCACTTAGTAGTGTAACAAGGAATGTAACCCTACCTTATTACTGGAATAAAGAAGCAAAATACGCAAAAAATATGCAGCAGAAAGCGCCACCTGGTTTTCATCGGCCAACCGTGTCTCTATGGCTATTACCATTTCTATGCAGAAAAATCTGCTGTAATACCGACCAGCCAAATCGGAGAGGTCACGTGCCGTGTCTACCCCCTTAAACCCCACCGGGTCCTACAATGATTCACCTATCCAGTCATGATTATATTTTAAAATGGAAACCTGTAATTGCCTTGTCGGAACCTTTTAGGGATGTATCCGGGAGAATCATATAATGGATTCCATATTAAAGCCAGTTTGGGACCTGAATATTATGGAGGTTTCCCTTACTATTTTCCACACGGGTATCTGTTATTAAGGAAACATTACTCACCACCATCGAGAAACTTCTCGGTGTTCTCTTCGGTCTTGAAACACCTGATTCATGTCTGCCTTCAACTCTTTCCCAAATTATCTATTTCTGCGTTTCCGATCGCGTGCAAATTTTTTCTTATCTCGTTCCATGTTTTTTCGATTTTAATAATTGCAAGATTTGTATTTAGTCAAATATTTTGTGAAGTTGTGAGAAATTACGTATCTTAATATCCTGTGGAAATACTTTAACAAGAACCCGGCAACACAGGACAGATGGGCATTGTTGGTGAAACAACCGACATACGAAGCGGGTCGTGTTACGAGGTGACGAATCTCGAAAAGGCAGTCGGCTTGCGAATTGCAACGGGATTGCATGCCAATCTACATAAACCTCTATAAAGCTGCATTTAGATCTTTATCTATAATCCGCAATCCAAAAATCTACTGTTAGACGTCGGGCGACGTCGAGGCGCCGCACAGTGGGGTATTTGGCCCGAAAAACCGGACAAAAGTCAATTTCAAAAATTTTGCGTAAGCCGTAAATTTTTCATTGTTTGAGGTTGTTAAATATGTGAGGAATAATGTACTAAACTTTTTGTATTCATTAGTACATTCATGAAGCACTAAACTCAATCAAAAGTCAGGAAATTTTATGACGTGTATTACTTTTTCAATCATGCTATAACATATCATGCATTTATTAGTGGTTTTTATACGGTTTAAAATATTTGGCTAATTTCTTCCATTACAGACCCTTTTTAGGTAACTATGTAATATACTTCCACACAGTTTCTATTCTTTTATCGTACTTATTTATATAGTTATTAATATTTGAATATAATCAATAAATCGGTATTTTTTTTACCATTATGAAACTTCAGTGACGATTTTGTTATACTTCTGAGTGAGTCCCGATGCTTTTTTTGATCTCATTAGATTCGGTAGAGATTTGTGATTACAAGTCAACAAAATTTGTTTCCGGATTTGTCCGGATTCAAGTTTTATAGCTAATTTAGTATTAAACGTTTAACAGCGTTTCACGTACTACTGCACGCGTGGTCGCGATCACAGGCCCAGGCCTGCTTGAAGAACTCCCGCTGTGGTTCTAGTGTCCTAAAAGGAACTGTTACAAAGTATCGACACTCAAGATGTTGTGTAAACTTGCGATAACCCTTCGACGAAGATTTCTCATCTGCATTTAGTCGAAACGGAGTCGTCAGAGAGTACGCATTTAAAAATTCAAAGCATTTTTCACGCAATTATACTGTATATTTTAGATTTTAGTGTTCATTTTATTCAGTCTAAGTTTAGTTTCGTATACTGCAGTGTGTGTTATATATATATATTTATTCTGTGTATATTAAGTACATTATTTAAGTTTTTTAGTTAAGTTCCTATATTGATGTGCTTTTGTTTATTTATATTTATACTACACTTCATTCTACTTATATCTGGTAAGTACATTTCATATCATATTTTTGTTATATAATCTAGATATTATTCACTTTTGATAATCAGACGTAAATTTAACGGCAATATATGTATCACATATATAGGTGTCACAATGTCAGTAAGTTCATCGGTGCAAATCGCAGGACCCTCTGGCATTAAATTAATGACGCGAAAGCAGTTATTTAAAATAATGCTGGAACACACGGCTGAAAAATATTAATAAAAAACTAGAGTATTTAGAAAACTTCTTGCTGAATCAAGATAATTACTCTGATGAAGAACGCCGAAAGTTGCAGCATAAAATATGAATTTAAACGGAGATGGTTGTCTCTTAGTTATAAAGAAGACACTTTTAAAATAAAATATAAGAGTTGTCTTGAAGGAACAATGGAAATTCCTATTGCAAATTCTCGACCTGGATGACCAACCAAATCTTTCAACGCTTTAACTGAACGTTCTAAACGTCGAAAAACGACCAATCTTCGAAAATGTACAAGGGAAGAAGAATTAACATTTGCAGCACAGACAAAACTAAGAATTTCCGGTTTAGTAGACGCGCTGCTGTATTAAAACAAATTACACAATCCCCTACGCGTGCAACTAAATATAGAAAAGTTTATTCAAGTGATCAGCAAGAAGAAAAATTACGACTACCGACCATAAAAGCACTATCCATTTTTATTGACGCTGATTTGTCACAAGAACAATACGAAATTATCAGAAGAAGTAATACAAAGTTATATCCTTGCTATTCAATATTACAAAAAGCAAAAAAGGAATGTTATCCCATTTCAGGCATCATTGTTAATGTGCCAAAATCAGGTTTCGGAAACACAAACGACGGAAACTCCAGCAGAAGATTTTTTTCGAATCATCAACTATCAACAGCAATAACAGGGATTGATGTCCAATTAATATATAGATTAAAAATAATATTAGAGGTAATCTCAAGCGGAAACACGATTAATTCGGACAAATTTGCAATGTATGCCAAGGATACTGCAGTAATGTATGTTGAATTATATCCATGGCATCCTATGAGTCCAACACTACACAAAATACTAATCCATGGACCCGTGGTTATTCAGAATACAATTTTACCAATTGGACAACTTTCGGAAGAAGCCGCAGAAGCTAGAAACAAATATTTTCGACAATACAGACAAAATCATATTAGAAAATGTAGTCGAGAATCATGTAACATAGATGTCATCAATAGACTTTTATTAACTTCAGACCCTCTTTTATCAAGTATAAGGTCAATTAGAAAAAAGAAAAAAAAGGAATATGCAAAAGAGTACTTGGATATGTTCTTTCTGTTCTTGGATATATGCTTCTTCTGAAGAAGATTAACGGTAAAATAGCTCAAAAATATTTTTAAAATATACATTTTGTTAATAAAAGGTTTCCTAATCCACATAATCTGTATTAAAATAGGAATATAATACATTTTAACATAATATACACTAGCCATAAAAAAAAACGGGACACTATTTTAAAACGTCATAACTCCGAGAATCTTCAACCGATCTTCGAGAAACTTCGTGAGGTTTAGTTTTGAAGTGTCCTCTGGGTGTGTGCAAAGTTGCATTAACGAGGGTTGACGATAAAGAGTTAATTCACCCCCCATAAAGGGGTAATGCAGAAAAACGGCACTTCAGAGGGGTCCAGGGGCGACGGAAGGTGGTGAAAAAATAAAAAAAACCTTTGAGGCGACTCTGTTTGATGCCCCCTACAAAATGCACCCCTTGAAATCGCTCTCGGACAAACCCACCCCTCACAACTCCCCACCCCCCCTAAGATCCACAATTTTTGGACAATGGTCTCGATTTTAGACTCAATGCTATCTCTGGACTCCCCTGATACAGAAAATGTCATCACTCAAACCGAGCACCCCATAGGCCTTTGGGGGGGGGGGGGGGGTGGAACAGCTCGTAAATTTTCAACCCCCTTCGTAACGGAACACTTCCCTGCATCGGAGGGCGATGAAATTCACCATGTTCGTTCTCAATACGTTAAGGATGAATGCTGAAAAGGTCCCGTTTCGAAAACTGCTCCCAGAGCTGAAGGGAGGGGGGCAGAGGTAGGGGTGGTCCACCCCCAAGTGTAAGGGTTGGAACGTTGTTTCGTTCCGTGGATTACATGTCCAACAGTCCAGGGCATCGGGGCGACACAGTTTTGATGTCTTTTTCCAGCGTGAATAGCAATAAAATACGAAAAAGTCGATTTTTTTTAAAAACTTGCTTCCTACTTCAGGCCCATCGCCAGGGTGAACGAGCAACCCCACGTCAATGCCGTTCATGGATTCGGACGCGCGAATGCTTCATTAACAGATTCCCAAAAAATCAGATTAATAAAGCATTGGATCGACTTCGATCGAAATAAAGGATGTGGCGCAATACATGGAAGACCCTTATGATAAATAAGATAAAGTACTCATTAGAAAACTCATAAAAATGGAGATGTCTGCCTCAGAAAGTTAGCCCAAGTTCGAAGTCGCATCAGTGGGTCGCGCAAGTAAGTCTTTCTTTTTATTTCATCTGTGAAATAATTCGTCAAGGCAGCATAAAAAGTCTCACGAGGAGACATCGCGAAGTGTGCACCGAATTTTTTATTCAAATTTTTTTTATATATAAAGAAGGGTATGTAGTACAATCTCTGCAAGTAGGAATGGGCAACTCTCTTTAGTTTTCGAGAAATAAATTTATAAAAATACATATATATCATAGAAGCATCGTGGCGCAGTCGGTAGAGCGGCAGGTTGCGAAGTCAAATTTTTGTTTTGGACGCGGTTCAATTCTGGTAGGAGTCACTTATTTGTTTTTTACGTTTTCTTCTGTTTGTATCATGTTTTGTCAAGAAAACTACTTTTTTATATATTAAGATTATTTTTATAAAATATCGTACAATTTTTATTTTTACTTGTAAATATGTATATAAGTTACGCGCTTATCTAATTGCAAGGGAGTTTGTGTAATGGCTGTGTGTAATGTTTATTTGAAATAATTAAATTGTTATTTACAGACTATAATGACGTAAATCGTCCTAAAAACTTGTAGAAACTGTTTTCACAGCCTGATTTCTTTTTCAATGCGATAAAAATCATAAAAATTGCACGATATTTTATAAAAATAATCTTAATATATAAAAAAGTAGTTTTCTTGACAAAACATGATACAAACAGAAGAAAACGTAAAAAACAAATAAGTGACTCCTACCAGGATTGAACCGCGTCCAAAACAAAAATTTGACTTCGCAACCTGCTGCTCTACCGACTGCGCCACGATGCTTCTATGATATATATGTATTTTTATAAATTTATTTCTCGAAAACTAAAGAGAGTTGCCCATTCCTACTTGCAGAGATTGTTCTACATACCCTTCCTTACATATGAACAAAATGTGATTAAAAAATTCGGTGCACACTTCGCGATGTCTCCTCGTCAGTATTACAATGATATATTTTTCACCCTACAGAAACTCATGCAGGAGCAATGAAGAAAGTACGCGAGCTTAAATCTCAGGAATATCCCTTCACAACGGACACTGAGAATGATGGGAAGTCGAAAGCCGCAGCAACGACGAAACTTTTTAAAAATACAAATGATAACGTTGGTAATGCTGGCACGTTGCTCAGTAAACATAATCTACCACCAGATTCAAACTCAGAAGAATCCAATGATGACAAGTGTGAGTTTTTTTTAAATACTAATGAATAATTGATAACTAAACATTATTACTATGCTTTCCCTCATTTATTTTCTCAATCCAACAGCTTACCTAAATAAATCTGATACGCCTGATTCCTCAGAATCGGAACAGGAGAATCGAAACTGAAAACACAAGAGGGACAGAGAAATTAAAACCAGTGCAACGAAAAATAATCGAAGGTAAAAAACGCGAAAAAATCGCACGCGGCCTTAAGAGTCAATTATCAGCAACCGCACATTCAGCGAAATGTATTGAGATCCCACAAGTTGATCCAATTGAGCAAATGAGGAAAAAAGATATTCATCTTGATCTACAATTGAATCGTCTTGAGACTCATACACAAAACAGCCGAGGTGAAAGGATTGACATAAACAAGTCAAAAAAAAATGCCAATGATTCAAGAAATGGACCTCTCCAATGGTAATGTTACATTATTATTTCTGCAAAAATATTGATATATTTACCTATAGAATTGTTGATAATGTGAATTATAATATTTTTTAGATAAGATGATAAAGTTGATGTATTCCTCCGTAAAAAAAATGATGGTCGAAATTAAGTTATTGAGAGAGGAAGTAGTACAATTACGCCAGACTGTGGCACGTGGGTAACAAAAAATCAATTAACTCCAGCTTCTTTTTTAAGAAAACATGGTTTCATTACCACTAAAATTTCATCGATGCAGGAATTTCAAGTCTTCGATGACCGCTTGAAAGCAGACGCAGATTTTCGGACGAACCAAGCAGCAACTTCGTCGGAGTGTCCTTTTGGAAGCGGCGTACACCGCAAACTATTCGTAAGATTTGGATTAAAAAAGTTTGTGTAGTGTCTCATTTATGTACATATTGAGTAAAAGTATCAATAAAAAGAAAAACATTCATCGTTTGCCCGACAAAAATGATTAAAAATACACCCTCGTACCGCGCGCGCATTGTGGTATTTATAAATATAAATATTCCATGTCAACTACGTTACCATAGTACGGTAGCACCTGGCATCAGTGATCCTGAGTATCCAGAACATATACGTATATTGGGAGCACAAATTAGTTCGGTCCGTTTTCAAACGATGGCTCTGGCTGTTATGAATGTTTCATACTGACAACTGATTTCAATTGTTTCTGAAAGGTTAGATATCTGCCAATAACATTCAGTTCATATTGCTTTGAGTTTCGTTTAATACCCCTGTTTTTAACTTTGTTTGTTAATGTTTAACTGTGTTAACTAAGCATCATTTTCGGGAGGTTTTAGTTTTCTGCTTTAATTGGAAGAAAAGTGCAGCTGAAGCACATCGAATGCTTGTTGAAGTCTATGGTGACAATGCTCCAACTCATGTAGACTACATGATAAATCATGTAGAGAATGGTTTCGACGCTTTAAGAATGGTGATTTTAGCGTTGAAGACAAGCCTCGTTCTGGACAGCCAAAAAAATTCAAAGACAATCAATTGGAGGCATTACTCGATGAAGATCCGAGTCAAACTCAAGAGGAGCTTGCAGAATTATTGGGAGTTATCCAACAAGCAGTTTCCGTACGATTGAAATCCATGGGAATGATTCACAAGCAAGGCAATTGGGTGCCGTATGAACTGAAACCGAGAGACATTGAAAGGCGATTTTTCACTTGCGAGCAGCTGGTTCAAAGGCAACAAAGAAAAGGTTTTTTACATCGGATTGTGACTGGGGATGAGAAATGGATATTCTACGATAACCCTAAGAAGAAAAAATACTACCAGGCGTATATATATATTTTTTTTTTATGCCAGGTCAATCATTGCCATTGACCTCAACATCAACACCAAAACCAAATATTCATGGTTTAAAAGTCCTGCTGTGTATTTAGTGGGATCAAAAGGGTGTTACATACTATGAGCTGCTACAACCTGGCGATTCCATTACGGACCATCGGTATAGGTTTCAATTGATTCGTTTGAGCCGTGCATTACGACAAAAACGACCGGAATATGATCAGAGACATGATAAAGTCATTCCTCTGCATGATAACGCTCGGCCTCATGTCGTAAAAGTTGTGAAAAATTATTTGGAAACGCTCAAGTGGAATATTTTACTGCACCCGCCGCATTCGTCGGACATTGCTACATCTGAAAATTGGCTTGTAACTTGGATCGCCTCAAAAGACGAGATATTTTTTCGAGATAGAATTCGAAAATTGCCTGAGAGGTGGGAAAAAGTAGTAAACAGCGATGGACAATACTTTGATTAATCTGTTAATTCATGTTGTTCTCGAAATAAATGCATTTTTCACCACAAAAAAAAAACGGACAGAACTAATTTGTACTCCCAATACGTAAATCGTAAAGGATATCATTCCATAAATGTTCAATTGGTACGGTAACAAAATAATAAAACTGAAATAATAACATCACAACTATAAGAATATGATTTTGCTGTTACAGATTTGTGATCCTGATTTAAGAACAATACATATGAATGCACAATTGCCTGGGAGTACGCACGATAGTTATATTTTTAACAATAGTAATATATTGCCAGTCCTAAAGAGTATTAATGAATATCATGAAAATGGTTTCTATCTTCTGGATAAGTTATACTGCTTTTATAAGTAGCTACTAATTTTTGTATGAACAAAATGGAAATTCACAAAGTTCCCACTACAAGTTTCCTAATTCCCGAGCAGTGTATATTATTTAAAAAATTCCTCTCTTTTACGCGTTTCAATCTGTTAACATAAGTTTCTTCAACAACTGTATTATGTAATAATCAATGATAATCGATTTGGCACATAAACGAAACACATATATCCAAAATGATAAAAACTGGTAGAGAATTAGGAAAATGGTTGAAATTTGGTGAATTTCTATCATCACTATCATCAGCACATAACTTGAGTTACACTTTTTCTATGAATTTCCATAGGAGATGCAGGATATCCATTGAGGCCATGGCTGCTAACTCCGTTAAGGGATCATCTTACTCAGCCCATCTCACTATCCAATAATATACACGGTTATAAACATTCTCTCAAATTTTTAAATCGAAATTCGAATTACTTCGGTCACTACAGCGTTTCTTAGAGAAAGGCACTGGAGCGTGACCGCGTGAGCGCACCACGCAGGTGTGTATACGGCTAACCTGAGGAATGTTTACAGTTTCGAGAGACATGATAAATAGCATAGCCCCCCGCCTAGCAGCGGGTCTGGGGGGTCCAGCTCCCACCACGCGTATAGTTTCAAAGCGTATGCTTTTTAAATTTTGTAGAGGGATTGTAAACTGAAAGTACACAATTCGAAACTATACATACCTGTTACAAGAGTTCATAACAAACGTTTACGCATCACGATCGCGGAAAATGGCGCCGGACGGCTAGAGACGTGGATAGAGCGTGGAACGGTTTGTGGTTTTTTTGTGTGGAAGAGCGGGAATTGAAACACCGATAAGGATCAGGAAGGAAAATTAGTGAGTGGGAGTATAGTAGAGGTGGAAATCACAGGCGGGAAATTCGAGGAAGAGAAACCTGAAGGACTTTAATCTCCCTGGGGAAGACATACTTCCACCAGGGAGAGAGAGAGAAAGATGGGAGGCATCGAAGGAGAAAACGTACGGCCAATGAGGGCGGAAAAAATGGCGGAAGTCCCCTAAGAGGAAACATGTGAATAGAACTCAGTGAACAGAAATATTGGAAAAAAAGATAATAATCCGGCGAGAAAAGACGCGTACACGCGCAAAATAGCGAGTACAGAACGAGGAGAATAAGTGAAAGTGTGGATGGAAAAAAGTGAAAAGGTGGTGCAAGGAAATACCAAGTGTAAAGTGAAGCAGTAAAAAAGTGAGGCTATAATGGATAGTGAGAAGAGGAAGGAGGAGAGAAGAGTAGAAATGGCGATACCAAATCACAAAATGGAAGAAACTAGAAGAAGAGGAGAAAGGAAACTCCCTAGCCTGGTGGATTCTAGGGAGTTCCAACAGTTGGAGGGTGGCAGGACTCCCAGAAAAGGAAATGTAAAGAATAAAATAGAGGGTGCTGAAGAAGCGGAAGCGCAAAAAGTAAATGAAGAGAGGAAAAAGAAGGAGAAAGTAAGGGGAGAAAATGCGCAGTACCCATAACGAGAAGCACAGTGACGAAGGAAAGTACAAAAGTAAAAAAACATAAAATAGAGAATAGAATCGAAGAGAGTAGAAATAAGATAGTAAGAAAAATTAAAGAAGGTAAGAGAAAGGAAAAAGAGGAGGCAAAAAAATATATTAAAGAATTTATTAATAAAATAGGGGGAGATAGAGACGTGCAGCAACACGTGGTCGGGTGGTACGGAATACCCCACGAACAAGGAGCCACACAAAGGCAACACGATTTAACAGAGGAGGAAATACCAGAGGAGGAGGATACGAACTCGAAGGATTTCCTCAATTTCTTCGAAGTTATTGTAAACTACGAAAAAGCGTCCAAGAGCAAAAAAGTTAATTACCTAAGGATCTTCAAGGCGGTACAAAGTGAGTACAGAAATATTAAAAAAATCAAAATGATAAACAAAAGAGTGGGATGATTGATATTAAATACCCTATAGCAGGAATGAAAGTATTTGAAAGACTGTGCAATTGTGGAATAGAAAACATGGCAGTTAGAATCCCTAAAAGAGCAACGGAGCGATGGGGAGTAATAAGGGATTGGGAGTATTCACCCAAAGAGCTCGAAAAAGCTGCTGTACCGGGACAGAGCATAAAAACAGTAGAAAGAATGAAGAAAAGGGTCAAGGTGGAAAGAGGCTACGACTACATAGAGTCTCCGCTGATATTAATAAATTTTAACGGTGACAGCCTGCCAACGAGACTTGTCATATATAACGGGATCACAAGTTTGGGGATAACCCCCTACATAAGGAACATAAAACAGTGTTTCGATTGTATACGATTTGGCCATTTTAAGAAGTTCTGTAGAATACAAACGAGGTCATGTTTCAACTGTGGGCGAGAGGCGCACGGTGAATGCTCAAGAGAAAAGAAATGTGTAAATTGTGGAGGACACAGTGCCCTTAGCAGAGAGTGCATGATGTGGCAGTGGGAGCATGCGACAAACAAATTGACAGCCTACAAGAACCTGTCGTATACAGAGGCCAGGGAGGTAGCGAGAAAAGAGCTGGGTATCCAGGAAAGGAGAAGCCAAGGCTACAGACAGAACAATAAAGACAGTTGTAGGTACAATGATAAGGAATTCCCAAGAATAGGAGAAAAAAATATGATATAGGAAGGAAGGCATAGAAAAATGGGAAGACAGAGAATGTAACATAAGGACTTCGTACTGAGGAAAAAGGAACGAGGCACCCAAAGGTAGAAACTACAGAAGGAACGATAGACTGAATGAAACAGAAGAGATGGAGAGAGATCCATACCCGAGTGAAGTATACCACAGGGATCCGATGGACAAAGAATACAAAAGCTACTGCACGTTTTCAAGAAAACCAAAAGAACAAACAACTGAAAATTGGAAAAAAAACCAACATCACAGAGCAGGATATTCAACCTCTGTTGGATTGGATCAAAGAAAGTAAAATCGAGGATTTCATTATGAATAAAATAAACAGAAACAGAAGATTCCAACACCCAAAGAGAATAGACAAAGATGACGAAGGTTATTGGAAAATCAGAAAAGAACATAGACAGATAAAAATAGACAAAGGCCCGGAATATTCGAGGCAGAATCTACCCAAATATTCGCCGGCAAATACTATGGACAAGGAAAAATACAGCTTTGAGAAACAGGAGAAAGTAAGGGACATATACAGGTTCGGAAAGACATATGAGAGGACAAGACAAGACAACAGGGACACACAAAGATTCTTAAAAAATACAGATGTAGTCGAAGCAAGAGCATCAACATCAAAACAGACAGACGAAGAAGAATGGAGACAAACAATGGTAAAAGGTTATTTCAATAACGTAGACAAGCAAGTACCATGCATGTCGGAAGAACACTGGGAGGATACACAGGAAAAGAATACAGAGACTACGAAGGAGGTAGCGATAATAATCCTAGAAACGCAAAAGGATATAGAGATCGACATGGAAACAATGGAAGAAATCCAGCAAGAAAAGCAAGTAACAACAGACGGGGCAAGTCTGCTGATAGTCAACACAGAAGAGGAGATAGAACCTAAAAAACAAGACATAGAGGCAAAGGTCGAGGAGGACTCGATGGAAGCAGTCGAAAAGAAAAATGTATACCCAGACGGAGGGACATCCTGGGAAGAACAGGCAGAAGAATCAGGGTAAGTCGAGCTCGATTTATTGTAAATCAATTGCTACTCAGTTAAAAAGAAATCAGATAGTAGAAAAGTTGTAAAATAGATAAGTTTCGGTAGAAAATAAGTACAAAAGCAATAAAAAGAAAAAGAGAAGTAGGTTAACATAAAAGTACAAAAGTATAGAATTAGAAATAGGTAGGAAATAAATAAAAGGCACAAAAAAAATTTAATATATTATAATAAATAAACTTAATATTATTCAAACAGGTATAAAGGATGTCAAATAATGTAAATATAGGATTATGAAACGCACACAGTCTTGTTGAAAAAAGCAACGATTTACTAAACATTATAGACGATTATGATATATTATGTATATGCGAGACATGGGTACACGAGTTCCCGTTAAAAAATATAAAAGGATATGTAACCAGGCACAACGAAATACCGATATCAGAAAGGAGAAAAACACACGGTACACCAGGAACAGGAATGGTAGTTATTCATAGAGAATCTATGAATATTAAATTTAATAGGGACATATACATTCCGAACAAAATGGAATACATGCAATTCCAAATATTAGACATTAACGATATAGTAATTTTCCCAATAACATTATTCTATAGGAATCCCAATAAACAATTTAGTAAGAAAGATTGGACAGATCTTTTTAACGAATTGGACATAACAGACGAGACTATAATACTAGGAGACTTCAACGCAAAACATATGAACTGGAATTGCAACAACGCGGACCGTTCAGAAATAGCATTAGACAGCGAGTTAGATAAATTTAATAATACATAATACGGACACCATAACGAGACAGAGCAAAGGGGTAACAGCATCCAACATAGATTTAATAGTGACTAAACCACACCTCACAAGTTGCATAAAGTATTCAGAATCTAATATATGTTTAGGATCGGACCATCAAATTTTAAATATTCAAATACAGATAAACGACAACGTAGGACTAAACGAAGACGACAAAAAGAACAGAAGAAACAACAGACTGTACAAAGACAAAAACAACGTGGACTGGAGACGATTTAGGGAACAATTAGAGTACGAGAAAGACAATTTTTTGAACAAAATGGAAAAATTAAGCGAAATCGACGAAAGATACGACCTATGGACAGAGACAATAATTGAAATATTCAAACAAAAAACAGATAAAAAAGACAAAGAGAACAATACAAACAGAAACAAAGAAAAGGACATATTTAGATCAACAAACAAGAGGAAGAAGACAGAGGAAAATCACAATAGAAATAGAAAATTCTGGTGGGACGAAGAATGTCAAGAGGCATGGAAAAAATGGAGGAAAAGCATGAATAAACTCTGAAAGACAGGAGAAACAGAAGACTTCATAATCATGTCCGAGTATAGACAGAACTGAAAACAAGGAAAAAGGATGCAGCCTAGACGAACTTTACAAACGACATAGCAAGGGAAAAAGACGTAGGAAAGATTTGGAAAAAAGTAAAAGGTATTAAAAATTTCTTTATCAAAGAGAAATCAGTAATGGGAGAATACGAAAATCCCGAAAGAATGGAAAACTGGAAGGATATGTTTCATAGACAAACCAGGTAAGGCAACCATCAGACCAATCACCCTGACATCGTGTCCAGGCAAATTAATTGAGAAAGTGATTAACAATAGGTTAACCCTCTGGGCAGAAAAAAACAGAATAATAGACGAGACACAAGCTGGATTTAGGAAAAAAAGATCGACAATAGACAATTTAAACCAAGTGGTATCACAAACGAAACAAAATGCAAGGAACAGGATCCCTTTATAGACGTAAAGGGAGCGTACGACAATGTAGACTTGGGTATATTGATAAAGATATTGGAGAGAAAAGGCTGCCCAAGGAGAATCATCAAATGGATAAATGTATGGTTGGATGATAGAATGGTAAGAATAAAAACGACTACAGAATCGGAAATAATTATACCGTGGAGGATAGGAGTTCCACAAGGAGCCATACTTAGCCCAATACTGTTCAATATATATCACAGGTATAAATGACACGATAAAAATAGATGAGGTGAGATACATAAAGTACGCGGATGACATAGCAATATTAACCAGGGGAAAGAACATAACGCAAACCACAATAAGAATGGAAGAAGGCATTTCGCAATTAGGAGACTTTTTAAACGAAAGGAAATTGGAACTATCAACAGAAAAGACAAAAGCGATATTCTTTGGACAGCAACTGAAGCAAAACGCGATAACGGTAAGGCTCAAAGACCAGTTCACCAACTTGGAAATAGTAAATAAGGCAAAATTCCTAGGAATAACGATAGACAACGAACTTCCATTTAAGGAACACTTTTCAGACATGATAAACAAAATAAAAAAGAGGCTACCCATAATAAACTATTTATGCCACGGAGAGAGAGGTATAAAACAGAACCAAGCACTCATGATGACCAGAGCGCTACTAACATCTGTTATGGAATACAGAGCAGCGATATATACCAACGATAGGAAACAACAAGGGATGCAAGAAGAGTTAAGGAAGCTAGAATCCAGAGCAATAAGAATGGCAATGGGATACAGGATATCGACGCCGCTGAACGTGATGTACACGGAGGCGGGCTGGATCGGACATAAAGACAGAGTCAGATTTCTGGCATGCAAATACTTGACTTGATCAAATAGAAAAAGGTAAGACAGACAATCCTACGCTCAGATTATGCGAGGAGATTAATAAAGATAATGGCCTTTTACAGAAAGGAATGAGAAAAGGAAAGGTAAACATAGTAAACAATCTATCAGAAGATGCATTCAGGAAGATGTACAGATACAAAGACATAATACACAAAAGGGACTTTAACGAGGAAAGAATCGAAAACTGGAAAATATTCTTCAACGTAGACAAACAACGACAAGCAGAAGTAAACAATATAAAATACGACACGAAAACAAGTAGGCTGATAGAAGACAAACAAATTCCAATAAACAAAACAATAGAATTCTTTAAGTTCACGCACAACATGGTTAACGAAGCAGTAACTATATTCACAGACGGGAGCAAAATTCCAGAAAGACAATCGAACGGAATAGGATTAATAACGCATGGAAACAACAGGATGTCAGCGATAGAGGCTCTGAAGAATGTGAACATAAAGTATAGGGAAACGAGGGAAAACCCGTGGATAGGAAAGACATGGAGAAGTATAAAAGAAAACAAAAAAGGAAAAATAATCATAGGATGGGTACCAGAACATGTACGAATTGAAGGTAACGAAAGAGCTGACGAAGAAGCCAAAAGACAAACGATAAATACACCAAATATAGAATTCAAGGTTCCAGCCAAGGAGACAGGTATTGAAACAGGAATTTTGAAAGAAATTCAAAGAAAAAGTAATGGAAATAGGTAGAGAAAAGGGCACGCTATTCATGAGAAAGATAGGACCAGACCACAAAAGGGCAAGATTTAAACCGTGGTTCCACAAGTTTAAAAACAGGCTGGAAAGGGATACGATAAGAACTATCTCGAGAATATGATGCAATCATTACAACTTAAAGGTCGTTAGCAAGAAAAAACATCATAGAAGATCCGAGATGCGACTGCGGACAAGACGAAGAGAGCATAGATCATGTGTTGTTTGAGTGCGGATTGTACAACTACGAGAGGACAAAAGTATCGGAAAGAATAGGCCCAGAAATAGAGAAGATAGGCAAATCGGCGATAGCGCTGATAAGCACGAACAAATTGAAGATATTCAAGACAATAGACAACTTTTTGAAGGAAATAGGAAAAAAATTGTAATAATCAACAAAAGACTGAACAGATACTAAGGACTGAACGCATAGAAAACACTAAGTATAGAAAATACAAGGGACAAAATAGTGAAGGAAAACAGTGATAGGTAGTAATAGGGATAGAAATATAAGGAAAAGAAAAAAGAAACAGTTTTTTTTTTCTTCATAGTTTGTATAAGAGATAAAAACATAGTTTATTGCAATCGTTAAGTAAAGGGCAAAGTACAAAAAGCACAAAGCGATATAGATATGTAAACATAGTATTAAAGAAACAAAATGTGATATGGGACGTTTTTTAGATAGACATTTACACATTAGAGTTCGCGAGAATTGAAGAATTTACACATATATATATATACATTTACATTTATAGTTATTTTTATATTTGATTATATCTAAGTATATATTTAAGTGTAAGGCAAAAGGTGAAAAACTGAGTGGCAGCCAAAAACGAGCTCGACCAACGAGATTATTAAAGTATAAGCAATAATAGAAATAGAAATAGAAATATAAGATTGTATTATATAGGCATTAAGAAAACAAACAAAAAAAAAAAAAAAGAAGAAAAGAAAGACCTCAGCATCCTACTCCTACCTAGCGAGCGTGCGAGCAGAGAAAAGTACCTGAAAAATAAAAGGGAAAAAAAGAAAAAATGTAATATAGTGCAATGTAATGTAATGTAAGGAAAAATGTATGCAGCAGAGAGTGAACGAGAATGGGAGAGTATACGCGATAAAGAAGAGAAATCCGAGTATGGAAGAATGAGTGAAGTTTTATTGAACAAAAAAGGACATTAAAGTTAAAGAAAAAGGTATGAATGAGAATAAGAGTACGAGTATGAGTATGGATACGAGTGTGAGCGGTATAGAGATAAGAAGAGAAATGTAAAAAGACCTGTATAAAACTGTGTATCACATAGTAATGCGAAAAGGAGGGAATGTCTCCTTAGCTCACTTTAAATAAACACGTAAAACGTAAAACCAATGAGGGCGCCACCTATCCTGGTCAACAGGAAGGTAGAAAAAATGGATACGTATGAAGAAGGGACAAGATACAGGAAAAGGAAACGAATTGCGAATAGGAATGAGAACCCACTCAAAGGGGGAGAAGTGGGGTACTGGGAAAGGAAAAGAGGGGAAGGGCATCAGAGAGAAAGCTTAGAGTATATCGAGATGTTGAGTAAAGAGAAAGCGAATACGAATAAAGAAGCAAATAAAGCGGATAAAGCAGAAGGAGAACTAGAAATTATTGAGGGAAAAAATAATTCTAAGAATAACGCAGCTGGAAAATACCACTCTGTTCATAAGGAGGTAAGGAAAGACGGTATAGAAAGTTATAAAGGAGGCATATAACAGACCTTGAACAAAGGGAACACGTGGTCAGGTCAGAAACCGTTAATATGTTAGAATTCTTCGAAGCACACATTAATTTTAAGAACGCATCTAAATTTAAGAAATCTAATTACATCATAATTTTTAGATTTATCCAAAGCCTCATAGAGGAAGTTGAAGGAATTAGGATGATAAGTAAAAGATCAGCTGAGATCAGATTGAAGTGCCCGGAAATGGGGTTAGAAACGTTTAATAGATTCAGTAAGATACAGAATAGCAGTATGGAGTTTAGGATTCCAAGGAGAGCCATCGAAAGATGGGGTATATGTAAGCATTGGGAATACTCCCCTAGGGAACTCGGGAAGCGCTCGTCCCAGGGCAAAATATAAAGAGCGTAGAAAGACTGAAAAGGAGAGTCAAAACGGAAAGTGGGATCGACTACATTGACTCACATTTAATGCTAATAAAATTTATAGGAAATAGTCTACCGACCAAGGTGATAATATATGACGGTATCATAAACATGAGTATAGTTCCTTACATGCACAGCGTTAAGCAATGTTATGGGTGCCTAAAGTATGGCCACTTCAAGAAGTTCTGTAGAGCTGGAGAAAATAAATGTTTCAAGAAACATTTAGAAACAGAAGAATCAGATTCCTGGAAAGGATAAACATTGGGGGAGAAGAATATAAAGGTATCAGAAACACGAATACTCAAAGCTGGTCTAGGGAACAAAGAAATAGACAAGTACAAGGATATAAGTTTCAAGGTAGATCACTCCCGAAAACAGCACCCAAGCAATAGCCAAAAGTATCAAGAAGAAGAAGACTTCAGTTTCAACATAAAAAGAATTACACCAAACGACGATAACAGATTTGGAAAGACATATAGTAGAAGAAGCGAAACACAAAAACAAGAAGTAAAAATACAAGGGAAAACACATGTTTAGGAGATGAAAAGGAAAAATACTCCGGGAAGAACCTAATCATTCCAGGAGAGAACACAGGGGCAGATAAACAGAGGCTGTGCATGTCTGATAAGGAATGGGACAGAGAAAAGGAACCAGAGTGTTTGGCAGAGAAAGTGCAGGAAGATATGGAAAAAGAAGGGGAAGCAGGAATAGGCAATAACGAAGTTCGGAAATATCCGAATATATAATAATCGGAAACGCAGAAGACAAAGGTCTGGTAAGCAGCGACAGCTGTGTGGAGATACAAGGATATTCAGAAGAACAAGAAGAACAAGAGATACGTGCAGAAAATACGAACAATTGGGAAGAAGGCGTGGAGAGCATAGGAAGGTAGGACGATAAAGTTGGTTCTGTAATCTCTATCCAATTGTTCCTTATAGAATTCTTGTTGCTAATCATTTTAGATTATCTTATTTGTATTTGTGAATTTTTTCTTTCGGTAAGAAAAAAGAGTATAAATTGAGATACTTTTAGGCCAATCTTAGGTAACTTTATTTAGTCACAGGAAATTTTGATCATAACGATACGTAATATCGCTCAATAGACAAACAAAAAAAAAGAGAACAGGTTACAATAGTCTAAAATAAGTAAGGTATAAAATAATAAATAAATTAAACATCTAAAGTCAGAAAAAAAAGCAAAAACAATAGAAAATTTTTATATACACTAAACTAAACTTTTATTACTCTTATATAATTTATATTTATTACTTTTATATAATATATAAAAAATAAATATAACGACGTAATAAGAATAATAGACGACTACGACATTATGTGCATCAGCGAAACCTGGTTAAGCAAAGCTCCAGGAACAAGAATAAAGGGATATTGCACGTACCATAATAAGATACCAAAGTTTTATAGAAAAAGAATGTTCGGCACGCCGGGTACAGGGATGTTAATTGTCTATAGGGAGAGCATAAAAATAGATATTATAAGCGAAAGGTTCGTACCTGACAAATATGAATTTATAAAATTTAAACTGTATGACATGAAAGACAAGTGTATAATAACTATAGTAATGCTCTATAGGAACCCGAGAAACAATTTCGATATAAATGACTGGAACAACATATTTGAAGAGACAATGAACGACGAAAATACTATACTAGTAGGGGACTTTAATTCTAAACATACCGACTGGAACTGTCATAGAATCGATCCATCAGGGAGGTCTTTGAAAGTAGCAATTGAAAACTGGGATCTAGTGGTGCACAATAATGATACTATTACTAGAACGAACAAAGGTAACTGTCCAGCTAATCTGGATCTGATCATATCAGACCCATACTTAACAGGGGAAGCAGAGTATTCAGAGTTGGGTATTTGTCTGGGATCAGATCACCAGATTCTGAATCTGAGGATCTTTTCCCAGAACGAGGTAGGGACAGTCGAAGACCAAACTGACATACGATTCAGTAACAGACTATATAAAAGCAAAGTCAAAGTAGACTGGATGAAATTTAGACAGGTTCTCGAAGGAAAAAAAGACAAAGTTAGGGAAAGTTACGATAGACTAAAAGGGATAGACAGTAAATTTAATTACTGGAAAAATATCATAGTGAGGGCAATGAGGGAAATATGTCCACGGAGAAGAAGGAATAATGTAACACGAAACAATAATTCTAATAACCATGTAAATAATACAAGAAACAGTCACGTAAACAAACGTAATCACTGGTGGGATGACGAATGCAACGAAACATGGAGGAAATGGAAGGATAGTATGAAGAAAGTATGGAGAACAGGAAACACTGAAGATTTCTTAAGTATGGAGCACAACAAGAAAACATGGTATCGAATGAGGAAGAGGAAAAAGAACCAAGCATGGACAAAATTAACAGAAGAGATAACACAAAAAAGAGATGTCAGCAAGATTTGGACCAGGATGAAAGGAATAAAGAATGCTTTTACAAAGGATAGATACATTATTAACAAAAGGGTAAGAATGGAACTGGAGGAAGAGGAAATTAAAAAAATAAATGAAAAAAACTTACACACTGTTAACTCAAACAACCAATTTATAGGTAAAGAGAAGCCACTATATCAGGAATCAAATCCTGAAACGATTTGGGACAGGGACATAAATAATATGGAGGTTTTAATGGGCATAAACAGCCTAAGCAACAGAAGACCAGCACCTGGAGATGACAGAATTGAGTATGCAATAATAAGTGATCTGCCCACATATATGAAAGACATGTTGTGTAACATCGTCAAAGAAAGCTGGAAAGAACAAACAGTTCCGGAGGAATAGAGAGTGGGAAGAATACATTTAATAGAAAGACCAGGTAAGGCGGCGTTAGGGCCGATTACACTTACCTCCTGCACCGGTAAGATAATGGAAAAAGTCATCAACAATAGACTGTCTACGTGGACGGAAATAAACGGCATCATAGAAGAATCCCAATCTGGATTCAGAAGAAAAAGATCGACAATGGACAATCTCAATCAACTGGTAACCGGAATCAAAGTTAACAGCAGGGAAAAAAAAGTAACGGCCACGGCTTTCGTTGACGTCAAGGAAGCTTATGATAACGTCAACCTACACATATTGTTGAATGTGTTAAAAGAACAAAAATGCCCACAGAAAATAAGGTGCTGGATAGGAGCATGGCTGAGAAACAGAGAGGTGAGAATAAGAAATCGCGTAGGAGTGGAATTAGCCACTACATGGAGGATAGGAGTCCCGCAGGGTTCCATCCTCAGCCCGACGTTATTTAATCTGTATATGACAGGCATAGGGAAATACACTAACTCCGGAGGCAGAAGCGTCATTCAGTACGCTGACGATATAGCCCTCGTAACCAAGAGAAATAAAGAGGAGATGGCAAGGAAAAGTATAGAGGAAGGAATAGAAAAATTAGGAGAGTTTCTCAACAACAGAGAGCTGAAGATATCTAACGAAAAAACAAAGATTATGTTCTTTGGGAAACAACCTACGAACAGGTGCATACAGGTGAACTTAAACAATGTTATAACGAAGATAGATATATGTAACAATGCAAAATTTCTAGGAATTAATATCGACAACAATCTGAATTTCAAGGAGCATTTTGAAGAAGTCATTTTCAAAGCCAAGAAGAGGGTGAATATAATAAGATACATGTGTCACGGAAATAAGGGATTGAATCAATGCTACGCATTGATATTAACAAGGGCACTCATGCCATCGGTGATAGAGTATGGAAGTTTCATATTCATGAACGGAAAGAAACAAGAGCAACTACAGGAGAAACTCAGAGAGGTAGAAACCACCGCTATTCGATCGGCTATAGGATACAGAATGACGACCCCGTTGAACGTGATTTATACAGAAATAGATGGACAGGAATCAGAGACAAGGCAAAGTATTTAGCGAGCAAGTACTGGATAAAACAATGGGAAAAAGGAAGGGAAAATAACCCCACGCTAAGGACGTTTAAGAAGATGAAAGAAAAATATGCTAACATCTGTACAAAAGAAAGAGCGCAAAAAGTAAACGTGACTCCAAATCTATCAGAAGAAGTTTTTTATGAAATCTGGAATAGGAGAAATCAAATCTGCGTAAGGTATATACATCATGAGAGGGTCAGATACTGGGAATCCTTGTTTAGAAACGAAAGAGGAACTGAGAACATGGCAAAAAAAAGGTCAAATATGACGCAGAGATTGGCAGAATGGCAAGCAGCAAAATCGTTCCTTACCAGAGAATAAAAGATATTTTCTTAGACAGATACGAAATAGAGGAAAACAAAACGATGATCCTATACACGGACGGAAATAAAATCCCGGACCATAATACCACGAAGGAAACTTTATCGTAAGAGGAAAGGCGATAAATAACAATTTTACCATATTCTCGACCGAATTAATAGGAATCAAGGAGGCAGTCAAATGGGCAAAAAAAACTTCAACAGTGGAGAACTGTGTAGTCCTAACGGACTCGATGTCATCAATAACAGCGCTAGAAAATTTGTCTATGGGACTCAATGAAGAAAACGACAATCCCTGGATATATGAAACCTAGAAAGCTAGTGAAGAATACAATAAAGAAAAAGTGATATTAGGATGGATACCAGGACATGAAGGGATTGAGGGAAATGAAAGAGCAGACGCAGAGGCGGAAAGACAGACAAATCAAACCCCAGAGAACCAGTGGAAGGTACCAGCCAGAGAAATCATGGTCAAGATAAAGCAAGAATTCTGGAATAAGTTTAAAGATAAAATGTCGTCAATAGGAAGAGAAAAAGGAACAAAGTTCTTTGAAGAAATTGGACCCGATAGGAACAGGAAGAATTTCAAACGTTATTTGTATCACCACTGTATTGTAAAAATTGTAAAGCGAAATGGATCCTATAGGGTCTTAAGAGCTTTAAATAATAATAATAATAATAATAATAATAATAATAATAATAATAATAATAATAATAATAACAAAAAATTTGCTCCCAAACATATATTCTTTGGGAAACAAACTGTGGAACTCGCGACGTATTATGCAGCTTGCATGTTCAACGAAGGGTATGATCCAATATTGAAAATCCTGAAGACAATGAGGGTCACCATAGGGTCGGTTCCGCAGAAAATGAACAATTTGAGGAAGCAGAAGAAATATCGTATGGACCTGGCATCGCCGATTGATCGTAAGTAAACGTTTTATCTGAAAATTCCTCACTCCAAATTTTAAATGCGTTTTTCTCGGAATGGTGTTTTTCAAAACGGTGGCCACTCTCAAAGGAAGAGTTTTTGAGATATCCATTTGAAATTTTAACAAAACATTCTTCACGTCATTCTATATCGTGCTATGGAAGCTTTTTTTGTTTTGAAATCTTCCTATTTTTTTTTACGAAAAACTGTCGAAAAAATAAGCTAAACTTGATACTTTATGTTTAAACCGCCGTCATTTTGTTAAATTTTATAAAAAAAAGCCTCCATAGCACGATAGTGGCTGTCCTACAAATAAATAATCTTTTTGAAATTTTTGTTTCAGATCAAATTTGCGGCCGTAATCATGGCCACTATAAGGGACCTTTTTTTTCACTGGACTTTTCTATGTATTAAGATAATAAACAATAAATAAATCCACTTAAAAAAAAACATTTTGTATTCTTCATCAGTGTCTTGATTTGTAAAAAAAAAATCAGACTGATTAGCTTATCCTGATCATTAAAAAAAATCACGAAAATCTGTTATTTTTCGGGCGATCACACCGTCATGATCCCTTAAACCAGCGTTTTCCAAACTGGGAGGCGCGGACTAGTTTAAAGGGAGCCGCGAAAATTAGACACAGTGAACAATTTTCCAAATTACTGCTAAAGTTTTCTATGTAAAAAATGAGAGAATAAATGAAAAAATACCATCGTGCTTTATCGCGCATAATTCAACTAAACATTTCGTAATTTAACATCCATATACCTAGACGTCCTAGACCCCGGCAAATCTTTTGAACCGAGGCAGTCGTTAATTTGGCGACACAAGCGCTAATGTCGCTTCAAACAAAAGCCAGATGCGCATCCAGAAAAGATCGACGCACATTTAGCTCACCAACTTGTTTCGTGTCACAGCTAATATTTAATTGGTTCAGCAGTGTTAGGTTATGTTTCTATTGTTATTGACGTGATTGCCCACTGATCATAATAGTAAGTAATTTAATAGTTTTATTTTTTTAGAATAATATAATATTATTCCTAATATTTCCAGACAAATGGATAAGTTTTTGATAGGATATAAGCGAAAATCCACAAATAATGGAGATTCTGATGTTGACACAAGTAGTGGGAATACAAGTCACAAGGAACAGGAAGGAAGAACTCCCAAGACAAGGAAATACGACTTATCCTATTTATCGTTCGGATTTACTAATATTATTAACAATAATGTGGAAAAACCAATGTGTTTGTTGTGTTCAAAAGTTTTGGCTGCTGATAGTATGAGACCTGACAAATTGAAACGGCACCTTGAAACTATTCATTCTAAATACGTTGGTAAGCCCCAAGAATTTTTTCAAAGAAAATTGGATAAGTTATCTAAAACCAAGCAACATTTTAAAAAAAATTGTTCATGTTCCATCAAATGCCTTACTAGCATAATACCTAGTGTCGAACAGAATCGCGCAATGTAAAAAAAACCCTACACAATAGCAGAATCCTAGTTTTGCCAGCAGCTATTGATATGGTCAAAACAATGTTTGGCCAATCTTATGCGAATCAGCTGCGAAAAATACCGCTTGCTGATAATACAATTGGCTGAAGAATTGATGATATATCTGAAAATGTTTGTGACCAATTAGTTTCTCGAATGCGTACTTCAAAATTCGCCATACAAGTAGATGAAGCTACTGATACTAAAGACGCACATTTAATTGCATATGTTCGATATGTTGACGATACTAATATAATTGAAGATATCTTATTTTGCAAACCAATTCCGGAGAGAGTCACATCCAATGAAATTTTCAAAATAATAGACAGATTTTTTAATGAGAACGACATAATGTGAAATAATTCCATTGGGCTCTGTACTGACGGTGCACAATCAATGGCGGGACACAAAACTGGTCTTCAAACACTAGTTAAAATGAAAACACCTGAGGTTCTCTGGACGCACTGCATGCTCCACAGAGCAGCTCTCGTATCAAAAACTATAAGCGAGGAATTTAACAATGTTTTTGGAAAAGTAACGAAAGTTATAAATTACATAAAAACAGTCCATTAAAAGCAAGGTTGTTCGCAAAACTGTGTGAAGATATGCGAGCTAATTACACGTCACTTCTGTACTATTGTGAAATGCGCTGACTATCTCGTGCAAAAGTGATTTAAAGGGTACTTGAACTCAAAGAAGAAATTGCTATGTTTCTCGAGGAAAATCATAATGAAGACGACAATATGTTTAGGAATAATAATTTTATTGTTAAACTTACATATTTGGTTGACATTTTTGAAAAATTGAGTGTTTTTAATAAATCAATGCAAGGACCGCAAATGCATACAAAAAGACAAAGTGAAAGCATTTATTAAAAAAGTGGAGCTATGGAAATCAAATTTGCAAAAAAATAAGATTGACATGTTTCCACGTTTAAATTTATGCGCCCGAGATAACATAGAAGCAAACAAAAATCTCTTTGTGGAACACTTGAATGGTTTGTTGCTTCAAGTTTCGAATTATTTTGGTGATTTTGATTTTACAAAGTTTGCGTGGATACAGAATCCATTTATCGACGAAGAAGATGATGAATTTGGATTGACAAGTATTGAAAAAGTGATACTACATTAAAACATAAATTTCAGACTGTATCTCTGGTTCAATTCTGGTTGAATCTTCATACAGAATATAACACTTTGTCAAACAAAGCTTTGAAAGTACTGCTGCCGTTCGCAACATCATATTTATGCGAAACGGGATTTTCTGCTTTGGCTGCAATGAAATCCAAATATCGAGCTCGTTTAGTTGTAGAAAAAGAGCTACGAGTAGCTATATCGTCACAAACGCCAAGATTTGATAAACTTTACTAATAGACTGCTAATAGAGTGCTAATAGACAAGCACATCCATCTCATTAAAAACAATAATAAAATATCGTTTTCCATTAGTTTGTATGAACAAAATTTATAAGAGTAAAAATGTTTGTGTTTTTATTTTATGAAATCTTCAGGGGGGGGGGGGGGACGCCAAATGATTAAATATTTTTAAGGGAGGCGTAGTAACAATAAGTTTAGAAACCACTGTCTTAAATGATACTCGGCCTGGAACACCGGAAGCTGCATACTCCGAGTGTTTAAAAAAGACAAAACAATTAATTGAACGCTGCAACGGGGTATTAAAATTAAGATTTCGTTGTCTTTTAAAACATAGGGTATTGCATTACAATCTCAGTACAGCTTCTAAAATCATTAACGCATGCGTGGTATTGCACAATATGTGCATACAAAATGGACCCCCTGCGTCTCAGCAAGAGGAAGAAGACGATCAGCTTGACTTAGGAATTTATAATCATGTTCCTCAAATTGAAGATGTGAATATAAATGTGAGAAGAGCGAATCCCGATTTAGCAGGAGGACGAGCGCTTCAGCAACGTATAATTAGATCCTTTGTTACTTGAAAAGGGAATATTGTGTTTAAACAGTATTTTTATTTCATAATATGTAAACATATACAGCAAACATATAGAAAAAAAAATATATATATATTTTATAAAATTGTACTATCGTTTAATTCTACACCGAAACCCTTAATAAAAGTTACGTTTACGAAAAACTACACGTAACATTGACAGGACGCCATGTATTTTCTAAAGTTGAACAATCATTGGTTCGTCTCCAACGCGTAAATCTGGCAATACTGTAATTTCATATGTATACGAATCAGTGATTCGTTAGTGCTCCAGAATACCGTTTTCGTATGTAAACAATTCGTACACGAAACGCACCATACGAATGTGTTTGTATACGACTAAATTCACACGAAACTCGAGAATAGACCCCCAGGACCATGCCTGGCCCTCGTCACTCGTCACCCCCACCCTGGACGAGGGGAAACAACGACGACGTCGAGGCAACAACTAGGCCCGTTGCCGAAAAGGGCATCAGTTGTGCTAGACCAGTGGAAAGGAAAATAAGGTCT